CCATCAATAAGCTTGTCATCCACTGACAGGCGGAGGCAGGTTTACTGTCATGACTTGTTTGTACATTCATGGTTCAAAAAAGCATATAAGGAGTAGGTTGCCTACTTCAATGAGCTCACGCGTCTCACTTTATATGTGATCAATCAAAAAAACGTAAAAGTAAAAAATGTAAGTTAAATTAGCAAAAGTTCAGAATAGTCAAAAAACAGAAATGGGATCCACATGCTGTGAGACAACGGTGACAACACAGCACCAGTGCAGCCAGTTTTGGTTAATAGCAATGATGTCTTTTATTCTAATGTCCAATAAACAGAAAATATATCAGTCCCTTACTTGTACAAAAATACCTGAACAATGTTGATCCAGGAGCCATACAGACAGAACAAAGCAAAGCATAGTGGGGTTAGCTGGAAAAAAGGTTCTTTTTTCCCCCTTCCCTGAAATGTTTGACTTCTGTTACAACTTCAAAAATAAAGCACAACAACATTGAGTCAGCTTCACTTGCACCTACACTGTGAGTCCCCGGTGTTGACAGTGTTGGCAATGTTGACCTGACATTAAGATTTACTTCCAGTAGATATTACAGTCAACTATCTGTACATGAACATAGTGAGAGGACAGATGGCAGCTGAGGACCTGTTATTGTTCACAAACAAGAGAGGCACCTGCTGCAAGATTATGCATCATAAAAATAAAAAAAAAAGTTTTTTTAAAGTTTTTTTTTATTTTGTTATGCACCTTAAAATCAGAGTAAATGAGCCTAGTGAAATTAGCAATCCTCCGGAGCTAGAGCGTATAACGGCACTACTCATGATGTAAGATGTACAAAAGCTGCTATGAATATCCTCAAGGGTTATATGATGGTGTGTGCATGCTCTCAATGAAAATCCACTGCTCTGTGTGTGTGTGTGTGCATGTGTGTGTGCATGTGTGCAAGGTTAATATCCAAACATTTACTGGAGTGTTTTCTTGAAACTAAATGAGTGGACTCAGACGTGACAGACATGGGATATTGAAAAGATGTGGGCTGTAAAATAAAATGCCATCAGATTTGGATGCTGGCAGAATTAAAGACTGTCAGCCTGTCAGTTTATACACACAACTGGTTGTCAGACATTTGACACATGCCAAAAATCCAGTTTGATCTCTTAAAATAAAAACAACTTAATTTAATACTGTGGTATATTCTTTTATATATACTGTATCTCTATATATAGCCTATATAAAATGTCATTTTGTGGCAAATTAAAGGAATACCTAATGTCAATATACACACAATCAAATAATGGAAAAAGGCACAAAATAAATCATTCTTCATTTTACACAGAGCAAAAGCATAACGCCCCATACATAGTGATCTGTGACCTAGGTACAGTGTTAGATCTATGTCTTCTCCATAACTTCACATACTCTATACTTGTATATTTATATACTTGGACTTATGTATAGGATTGCATTGTAGCACAGTGATTAAAAATTGAGGGAGGAGGAGAGGATGGTGATTCGTTCCATGCTGACTCATACTGACGTGGCTTAGCGCCCTTCTCTGTCAGACAGGAAAGAAGCTCATTTCAGGACTGGGACTGCTGGGATACCTCCAACCAAACTCCCGTCTCCTCGAAATCCACAGCGACCCTTGACTTTAACCAACCAACAAGTGACATTCCTCTTACTGTCTCTAAAGAGCAAGCATGACAACCAGCAGGGTTAGCAATCCTGAATATGACAGTCTGGCCATCCACACACACAAACACACACACACACACACACACACACAAAA